CAAATGGAGAAGATTATGGCGATAAGAAATTCTATAGAGTAGGCACTACTATTATTTAGTCTTGAGGTGCTATCTAAAGGGGTAAGCACTAAGATCCATGAGTTTTGAGGTGCTACCTAAAGGGGTAGGCACTAAGGACATGAGCCTTGAGGTGAAACTCGGATTAGTAGGCACTAAGGTTAATTGAATCTTGAGGTGCACCTGATAATGTTGATATATGGCTAACTTTGTGTTTCGCCATAGTCGATGGAATCTTGAGGAATGGTGATAATGGTCCCCTCTCACAACCTATTTGTATATACCATTACGTAATAAGACAAAATAGATCGTCAAATCGTCATTGATTTGTCAAATCATCGTAATATTAATAGGGCATCAGAAGACATTTTTAGGGTCAAATTTTCCCCCATGGTTCGATTTGGACTTTATGGGGGCGATTCTCGTTATCAGATATAATATTGATTTTTGTCCCCAAATGATATACATTTAGAGCACTAGAAAATCATATTTTTGTCCCCGGGGGGTGATTTTGATTATACAAGGTTGATTTTCATTAAAAAGTGGAGAAAATCATATTTTTGACCCCCAAATGGTATACACGTGGGACCCATCTATACCTCAAATGGAGAAATCGTGAAAATAATTTTTTTCATATCAATAATTATTAAAAAAATATTAACATTCATTGGTTTTTCATAAAAAAATATATTTTTGATAAGAAAATATAAGAACATTCATTGGTTCTTATCAGATTTTTGTCCCCCAAATGGTATACTTGTGGGACTCATCTGTACCTCAAATGGAGAAATCGTGAAAATATTTTTTTTCCGTATCAACTATTATTAAAAAATATTCACATTCGTTGGTTTTTCATAACAACTATATTTTTGATAAGAAAATATAAAAACATTGTGATTTTATTTATGCATTTAAAAAATAGTAAAAATTGTAAACGTTGAGAATACTACAAGATTTATATATATATAACACTACATTTGGTCCTAAAAAGATATATATACCAATAAAAATCGCCACCATGCCTTGAAAAGCACCCATGAAGTGTCAAATTGGTGCGTCATAGGTTGTCCTCACTATAAGACAAAAATAGGGTCAAAATCGCCCCGAAGGCGATTCGGGGGTAAGTGGGGAGATTCCATATATCATGTATAATATCTGATTTTTGTCCCCCAAATCAGATATATGTGGGACCCCCGGTACCATTTGGTCAATATCGCCCCCAGGGGCAATTTGAATGGTCATTTTGTTAAAAAAAAATCTAAAAAATGGTCATTTTGTTAATTTAAAGTGTATAAAATGGTTTTGTTGGTTAATTTCCCTTTAGTTACTCTCTCTCTCTCTCACACACACACATACACACACATATATATTGGAAGGTTCAAATGAGAACCTTTGAGAATTATAAGAACTAATTTCAACCATTCAACGAGCTTCATCTAAGGCTAAGAATGTGGTATAATTCTTTTTACATGTGAAAAAAATCTTGTATTGTTCACTCATGAAACTTATCCACACATGGTTGGGTAACACGATTTCCAACATTTTTTAGATTTTTATTTAATCCCCACAACCACCGGACATATATAGGTTAGATTCTAATGATAACTCTTTTATAGAATGATGAGAACACATTCAGAGCCATTACTCTCTTTTATCCGACAAAGCTTATAACATATTTTATTTTTTTGTAAATAAGGGGACACTTTCATCTTTTAGTTTTAATGGAGACTAGACTCGCATACACCTTCACCCACATTCACTCATCTTTATCCATCTGTTTTGTATCACCATGTATGAAAACATATTAATTACCTTGCACATACCTTCGCGCACTTTTATTACCTTTATAAACCTTCACCCACCTATTGATATCATCAAGAATAAAACCTTAGGATGTGTTTGGTATACTAAACACGACTAAAGAAAACACAGATACGTTCCTCGTCTGATAGAACTTTTATGTGGAACATATAGTAACATGGTGGAACAAAGTGGAATTGTGTGTTCCACCCCCCATGGATCAAGTGTGTTCCAAGATGGAATAGAGCTACATTCTACCAATATACCCTTAAAATAGAACTTAATTCTCTTCTAAAACATCAAATATATCACATTCTTTACATTCTATCCATTCTTTAAACTGTATTTACTGTATTTAACCTTTTTAAACTTTCACATCATTATACTCAAAAACTTATTTTTATACGTTTTTTATATATTAGTTAATTTATATAATTTATTAAATATTTTTTTCGATATAGAGGGGGGCGGCCCCTCCAATCAAGAAAAAAAAAGTAAAAACAATTTTTTTGGATTTTTTAAACTTTTTTGTAAAAGATAAGAAGCAACATCAAGGACAGCACTCGGGAGGAAGATAAACCAAAGCAACCACCAGAAAGGAGCAAAGCTTAGAAAAAGGAGAGGAGAAAAAAGGAGGGGGGGGGGGAAGAAAGGAACCAACCACTAGGGAAGATTCCAGACAAGCTTTGCACAGGCAACATTAGGGAAGACTTCATGGTAAGGACAATCAGCCTGGACCGGACATCATCAGAGATGGTCTTGACCACCATGTCATAAGATCTTCTCTTATTCTTGAAGATGCGATTATTCCTTTCATGCCAGAGGTAGTAGACGGTTCCAGCAAGCACTAAACGTCTAATGATAAACCAAATGATCTTGCCTCTGGTGGCTTGCTGGAACATACTAATGATATCAGCCCAGTTATCCGGAATAACATGGATGTTCAGCTTGGGCTTAAGGCCATTCCACACCTGATTAGGGCACGGGCACTCAAAGAAATAGATGTTGATGAGAATCAGGCCCGTTAAGACATAAAGCACAAGACATGTTAGAATAAGCCTCCCAAAACCAAAGCTTATCATGCGTCTTCAGACGCTGCTTAAGGGCAACCCAAATAATGAAAACATGTTTGGGGATGTTTTGAGAGAACCAGACCATGTGATGCCATCCGACATCTGGCTCATTGGGGCGGATGGAGAGCCAGACCTCATGGACAGAGCAAGAAGTGAGACGACCATCCTCTTTTCTCCAAAGGAGTTTATCAGGGACAGAAGGGGAAAGGACAGGAGGGGAAGAAACACGAAAAAAAAGGATTGGGACTGTCCCGCAGGTGGGGGCAAGTCCAGTTTCCCTAACAGATAATGTCCTTAACACAGGCGTTGAGGGAGAGGTTAGCGTTGATGATATTACAAGGAGAATATGTCGGCATAGGGGGCCAGCATGGTACCAGTTATCAAACCAGACAGACATGGAAGCGCCATTACCAATCTGGGAGACAATGAAGTCTCGTATCTTATCCTGTATGCCTAGGATCTTCCTACAACCCCAACCAACATCGCTGTGGATCGGGGCATCCCATAAATTTCGGCCTTTAAACCTATAGGAGTGGATCCATTTAACCCATAGAGAGTCCTTATTGGTAAGGATTCTCCAAGTGTGGGAGGCCATAAGGGCAAGATTCCAGCTGGTAAAGCTCTTAATACCAAGCCCGCCTTGAGATTTAGGAAGGCAGACGGTCTTCCAGGAGACCTTTGCTTTCCTTCTTTTAAGCTCACCATAGCACCACAGGAAGCCCCGCATGAGCTGCCCAATCTCCTTTGAAATGGAAACAGGGAGAACACAGATCGAGGCGCAGTAGATTTGCATGGAAGACATGACCGAGAGAATGAGCTGCAACCTACTGGCAAAGGAGAGAGACTTGTTTTTCCAGTCATTCAGTCTGGATTTAACTTTATCGACAAGATCCTTACAATCATTGTGATAAAGACGAGTCGTGATAAGGGGGCACCAAGATAACGGACCGGAAAGGAACTTCCGAGAACATAGTGATAGAATGAATGGTACTTTTAGTGTACTGGCTGACGTTACAATAGAAGGCCTCGCTTTTGGCTGGACTGAGGAACAGGCCAGACACTCCAGAGAACTCATCAAGAGAATCATTTATGATATAGACATAATCACTATCACCAGGTCAGAATATGAGGAGATCATCAACAAAGCAAAGATGGGTGATCTTTTCTTTGCTGATGATCTCCTCATATTCTGCCATAGTGATAGTGATCATGTCCGTATCATAAAGGATTCTCTTGATGAGTTCTCTGGAGTGTCTAGCCTGTTCCCCAGTCCGGCCAAAAGCGAGGCCTTCTATTGTAACGTTGGCCTGTACACTAAGAGTACCATTCATTCTATCATTATGTTCCTGAAGGTTTCCCTTCCAGTCCGTTATTATAATACAATATAGAAGATGTATAAAATAAAATCTATACTATATTATAAAGCATTTGACAAAAACTCTTAAAACCACTTTTTATGCATGAAGTACTGTTTATTGATGCATATTACTTAAAAATCAAGATTACAAGTGATTTTGCATAAGTACAACTTATTAAAGCTTCATTTTTAAATTCGTGTAACTAATTGCAGATATAATAAAAAATTGAATTAAAGAAGTTACACAAAAAAACTAGAACTATTAAATAGTTAATTTAATAATAATATCGACTTTATTTATTTTTTTAATTTTTTATGTTATCTTCAAATTTATATTTCATTCAAAAATAAAATATAATCACTTTCTCAAAACCACATAAAATCGTATTATATCAATAGAGACAAAAAATAAAAAACTAAATATTAAAATAAAGATTTATCTCGTTGCATTACGTAAATACCCTTTTAACTATATCAAATATATAAACAATTTATTAAAAATAAATTAATTATTTTATCAGTCTTATCTTTTCAGATGTTAAATAATCCTCAAGTCTATTATATCTGTGTAACAAACACACTTTAAAAACAAATTCACGTGACTTAAAGAGTATGAGAAACTATTGAAGGTGAAAACCGAGACATTAAAATTTGTGAAATATAAATATTAATTAATCGTATGGATCATGAATTTATTAATTAGGAGGTGGTGCGGTATACAACGTGAGGGCTTCTCCGGCGACTACCCCACCACCACCATCATCATCATCACCATCTTTATGTCCCCCATTTCTCCCTCTTTCTTTCTAGTTAACCAGAGTGACTCACTCACACTATAAGCTACACAACACAGCTCTCTCTTTTTCAACCTTTTTAGCAGAAAATCAAGGGGGTGCGACAAACTAGGTCGATCTTATTACGGAATCCGATAATGAAGGCCAAATCACCAATCTTGAATCCTTCTGTTGTCACTATCGAACATAAGAGGTATTATTAGACCTATCATATCACTTTGGCATCCGTTTCATTAGGGGATTCACCGCATTTCTCTCTATTGCTCTGTCTGTGTTGGATCTATCTCAAAAGCACTATTGTCACTTGCAATCAGGCTTTCTTTTTACTTGTGTTTCTCTGTGACAATGATCTTGTAACGCTTGATCATGTCAATTTTATTAATGGGGTGACATTGGAACCTCCGAAAATTTTAACTTAGATGCTGTGGGGCTTTAATTTATTTGATCTTTATTTGTTTCATTTGATTAGCTTTGTGATGAAATTTGGTGATGCTGAGAGATTTTAGTCTTTCAGTACATGTGAAAGCTCTTTATTTTTCCTCTTTGTGATTTTTTTGATGATCTTGTTTGGTTTAGTTTGGAATTTGAGTTAGGAATCGCTCTCTTTCAAGTGAAAGTGTTCCAATTTACTTTGGACGTCAAAACGTTGGCTTTGGAACTTCAAAATTTTAATGGATCCCCACCAATTTCCTCTCTCCTCTTTGTGGATGCCATCTTGATTTCTCATGACATGAATTAAATGGGATCTGATGTTGCATCGTCAACCTTTTAAAGCTTAATCAAAAAAGGCTCATTTCGTTAGCTTATAAGCTAGCTTTTCGAAAAGCTACTTCAAGTACATTCTATAAGTTCTTTTTCCAATTTTTTCGGTTTTCCAATTAATTTTTCAACATGTCCTTTTAAAGTCATTTTACGTTGTCATCTAGCTTATCAGCTAGTTTTTACCAACCATAACTAGTTTATCCGCTAGCTTATCAAATCAACAGCTATTTTACCAAATCTAGTCTTCACTTCTTTGCACATGAAGTGATACCTACAAAATGAAAAAATTTAATGACAAAAGCGCATTGAGCCTGCATTTTTCTGCATTATACTTCCATGGAAAAATATATTACAAGCACTACAAATGAATTAATGTGGTTGGTGTGCAATAACAGAATATTATTATGACATCTAAAATCAAAGTTGAGATGTAGGTTTCGCAGGGAGTATGTGAAGTGTTATGAGAGTATCAATTAAGATTCAATGGGTGGGTTCGGTGACTAGAGAGATGGTGTGACCATGGGAGGCAATGTGAGCACTAAGTGCTCGAGAATTCATGTTTTTTCTGTTTATTTTGTTGGTTAATCTCAGTCAGTAACTTGTAGATGTTCATATGAGTTCAAGTTTGAGTTCGGGATCAATGCCATTTGTATATGTTGTGGTTAGTGTAGTAATTGATCTTGTCTTTTTTGTAAACGATCATGACTTGTTTGTGACCTTAAAGTTGATTTATTATAAAAAAAGTGCTATTAAAAATGAACTGCTTCAATATTTGTGTGGACAGAGACGCTTATGGTTTTGCTGTGAGACCTCAACATGTACAAAGATACCGTGAATATTCGAGTATCTACAAGGTATTACTTTCTCCATCTGCTCTAGTATCTACCTTTTACTTTCTGATGGGAACTTCGTTTTTGATCGCCAAGTATCTTAATTGTTTTATCAAGATCCCCTTACCGTAGGGAAAATTGAGGTTCTTCCCTCTCTAAATCAACTTGGATTTCACTGTCATACTATTAAAAGGGGGAGTAAATGGTCTCTAGTTACTGCATAAATGTTCTGTGGCAGTCACTCAAATCCTACACGAGATAGTTATACCATGTGGAAAATGTTCTTTACAACATGCACATGCCACATTGGGTGCTTAATGCTGAAAATTTGTGCATTCACAGCTTATCATCTTTTTTCACTAATAAACACTCTTCTCATTTTTTCTTATTTCCTGTCACCTCTTGAAGAAACTTAAGCTGATAAGAGACTTAATACTGTAAAAACCATTTTGGTATTTTTTTTCCATGGTTTTAGGAGGAAGAGGAGGAACGATCGGATAGGTGGAAGGACTTTCTTGAACGACAATCAGATTCTGCTAAGTTGCCTGTAATTGGCTTGACTGCAGATGAAAATAAGGCAGCTCCGCTTGCCCATACTTTTGAGCAGGAAGCTGATGATAGCTCTGATAAGGCCACTGGAGATGATTTGAGTGGTGAGAAACCTGGTTGTGATGATCGTCAAAAGGAAGAAGTGCCTCCAACTCATCAAGCACAAATATGGGCTCACATTAGACCATCACTTCGAGCCATTGAGGATATGATGAATGCCCGTGTTAGGAAGAAAATTGGTGTTGCTAAAACTGAGAAAGATCATGGAGCAGAAAAACCTGCATATGAAGATGCTAGACCTGAAAAAACAGGCATTGAAGAGGATTCTGAAGAAGAATTTTACGATTTGGAGAGGTCAGAGTCAGACCCAACTGCAGATGTCCCTTCAAGTGATGCTGTAAACATTCAAACTGCCCCTCCAGAATCATCAAGTCCTTGGAAAGATGAGTTGGAATGTCTTGTGCAGGGGGGAGTGCCAATGGCTCTTAGAGGAGAGGTTGGTTGCATGTACTTCATTTTCCTGCATCCGGTCACTTTTAAAGATACATTTACTTATTACTCACCACTTATTGCAGCTCTGGCAAGCTTTTGTTGGTGTAAAGGCACGACGCATCGAAAGTTATTATCAAAATCTGCTGGATCCTGATACAAAGAATGATAACGGTATGGAACATCAGATTCAAGCAGAAGAAGCAAGTAAGACATCAACTGCTGAATCTGCATGCATGCCCGAGAAATGGAAAGGGCAGATTGAGAAGGTCATCATCTAAACTAACTTTGATGTCTTTGATTATGCCCACTATATGGGGGATATCATTACTTTTATTGGCACTCCCAATCATGTATACTGTTTCTATGGCAGGACTTGCCCCGTACATTCCCAGGTCATCCTGCTTTGGATGATGATGGTAGAAACGCTTTGAGACGTTTGCTCACTGCGTATGCTAGACATAACCCCTCTGTTGGCTACTGTCAGGTATATATGTTTGGAGATGCCTGTTTATGCTCTCTGTTTGGCATTTAACCTGTCTGACAATTCTGTACTGCCCAAACTTAAAAAGATTTATTTGAGGTCTTAAAGCTATTGATCTCTTTTGGGAAATACTTATGTTATTTCAAATATTTATCTAGACTATGTGAGCAAATGAAATATAAATTATGTTTAAGCAAGGTACTTGGTAACTTGCTAAATTGTTGAATCTCATGTAGGCCATGAATTTCTTCGCCGGATTGTTACTATTGCTGATGCCAGAAGAGAATGCCTTTTGGTGGGTCCCTTCCTCACCTGCTTTATCAATAAAGCCTGAATAATATATTTTGCTCATTGTTGCAGCATTGATAACACGTAAAGCTTACCATGCTGTTGAAGTGCTTATATTGTAATTTCTGTCTCAGGGCTTTAATGGGGATTCTTGATGATTATTTTGAGGGCTATTATTCAGAGGAAATGATAGAGTCCCAGGTAGTTATTATGTCTATCTTTTGTCTCAGAGATTGGAACCTATAGTATTATATATCAAGTTGTGTGAATTCCAACAATAGTTAGTCATATAGATGATTGCTAGGTGTGACATCTTATATATTGCACTGTTGATCTTTTAGGTTGATCAGCTTGTGTTTGAGGAGTTGGTGCGTGAGAGGTTTCCTAAACTGGGTTTGTATTTCATTTATTCTTGACATTTCCACCTATACATCCCCTTGTTCTTGTATTTATTCTCTTTTTTGTATGATTGTTTTCCCTTGTTGATTGCATTTACTTTCCTGATGCAGTTAATCATCTAGATTACCTGGGAGTGCAGATAGCCTGGGTCTCCGGACCATGGTTCCTTTCAATATTTATGAATATGCTTCCCTGGGAAAGTGGTTAGTTTCTATATTCCACTAGCCAAATTACATTTATGTTTATTCGATATATAAATAAGGAAATTTTTGTTCTTCTACTAATTATCCCTTGTTAGTTGGTATTGGACTTGCAACCTCATTATTGCTTGGGTTCTCTTGCCTCCAGTTCTTAGAGTCTGGGATGTGCTTCTATTTCAAGGAAATCGTGTTATGCTGTTTCGAACAGCACTTGCTTTGATGGAGTTGTATGGTATCTGCCTTTCTTTCTCTTTGCCATTGGCCTTGATATATATTGAGGAGGATACATGGACTTCTTATTTTATCATTTTGACAATATTAGAAACCACAACTTATGTTCGTTCAGTATTGTGTAGGACCTGCATTAGTCACAACAAAAGATGCTGGAGATGCTATCACATTGCTGCAGTCACTGGCTGGATCAACATTTGATAGTAGTCAACTTGTCTTGACAGCTTGCATGGGTTATCATAACGTAAATGAGTCGAGATTGCAAGTTTTGAGAGATAAACATCGACCAGCTGTAGAGGCTGCACTTGAAGAAAGATCAAAAGGACTTCGTATGTGGAGGGATTCCCAGGGTTTGGCGGGTAAGCTCTGTGGTTCCAAAGGAAATAAAACAGAAAAGACAGGGGATAAAACGACAAATGGTGTACTATCACGGATGAATTCTGAATCTTCTAATGGAGATGAACTGTATATGGGTGTATCAGGGGATGTGGAGATTGATTCTGTTCCAGATCTTCAAGAACAGGTTACACAGTTTCTTATTCTTACATACTCAAATGGCGCATTAAGCAGTATTGTTCTTTGCTTTGACTATTACAAGGTTTTCTTGTTAATTCACATTCTAGCATATCAGGAAAATAGCATCATCATACTCCATGATTATGGTAATTGTAGAATACTATAAGGAAAAATTGATTAAACTGTAACATCTATGTTAGTCACCTCAAACTGCTCCTTTTAACTTTAGAGGAATTAATAATGTACCAAAAATAACAGCTAATAGGCCTCCAATCTGTTTTGTGGATATCACATGTGCCTCCATTGTGCTGAAAAGGAACATTGAAAAAAGATGACGTTGGAGTGAGTGAAATGCGAGTATTTCAAAACAATAACATGTTTTAATTACATGAGAACATATTTGAAGCATGTTTTACGAGACTGTATACCTTTTGCTAGACACAGAGCAGCATATAAGAATAAGGTACTATGTTATACAGTGATCCGATATCTTAACTTCTTTATCTGCAATAGAAGAAACTGTCATGTTGTGATTATTATATCATTGTTTTTCTTAATCCATTTAAGAACAGGATAAAGAAACGCAAGTAAAAAAATCTCCCTTATGAAAGTTGTGGTAATTGCATTATTCAAGATAAATTCTCCCTTGAATTATGAAAGTTGTTCTATTGTAAAGCATTGAGCATGTGGTATTCGCCTAATTTCATAGGTGATGATACCTTGAAGGTCATGGGCTTAACMCCCCCCCCCCCCTTCTTTGCCTTCTCTAAAAAAAGGAAAATGGGTCTACCTGAAGTCAGATGAGGAGAAATTTGGTATAATCTAACCACTAAGTTACCACAATTTTTGTGGTGTCGGTTCATTTGAAATATGCAAAAGCAAAGGAACTCCTCTTTTTGTGTCTTCATTTATTTGCCATTAGGAATATAGCCTTAGATGGAATAAGTGTCCAAATCCAATTACATGAGTAGAAGAATCTATCTATGTATATATGTAGTATATTAATGTTTATTTGTAGTTCTGATTGGGTTATATTAGGTATTTGATATCTATAGCTTCCTAGAGAAGTGTTTTGTCTTGTACCTGCATCAGAGATAGCTGTAACATGATTTAACAAAAGACCATATCTGCCCAATGTGGATACAAAATGTGTTTTCAGTTGGAACAAGTATGCATCATGCTGAAGGTAGTTCTGTAAGGAGAAGAAGGGGGGGGGGGGGGGGGGGGGAGGGGGAGGCATCAAGTTCTACAGAGTTAATAACTTTCCTTGTGACCTTCATGGCTTATGAAAATTTAATTCATGGCGGAATTCGGTTATTCTTGCTTGTTAAGTAGAGAGTGCGTATACTCTCAGGAGACTTAATATCTGCTTTACAATTGGAGTTATGCTAGGACTTGATATTCAGGAACTTAGAGATTATGACCGCTATAATTTAATGGCAAAGTACCTAGTTTCTTAAATCAGACAAACATCTTGGCATAAAGGAAAAGCATTAAAGTTGTTTCTAGCCAATAACTGGGAAATCCGACGACTGCAATGGAGTGGTATCCTAGGTTCCTATGCAGGTTTTTAAGTGTTCCATTTGCAGCAAGTTTTCCTACCAATCACAAGTTTCAGGTTGCACATAGTATTCATACTGGAAATTGTGATCAGGGATTCCTTTATCGACCGCCATCTACCTCAGAGATTCCTCTTGAAACATTTTTCAAATACAAAAGTTCAGTATCTTCCCACAAATTAGTAAATTAGACAGGATTCCTTTGCACAGAATAAAAAGTCGTGGCTCAATCTTCAGAAATTTTATCGTAAATCTGAAATACTTATACAAAAAAATGCAGGAGAGATAAAAAGGTTGCATGCCCCTATTTGCTTTTAAAGATTATTTTGTTATTATGGTTTAGGGGTATGGTCTTGCTAGCACTTGCTTTGAGTTTCTAATGGCTCCGCAAAATTGTTCTCTCTGTAGATCTTATGGCTGAAGAATGAGTTGTGCATGATACTAGAGGAAAAACGATCTGCAACACTCAGGTTAGTATATTCCTTGTATTCACAGTAACAAATTTATGGACGAATTTAGCTACAAGTTTAAGATTACAACTATTGTCTTACTTGACATCTATTAGATGTCAACATTTTTCATCTTGCAATTCTTGCTGCTTGTGATGTTTATGTATTAGATTCTCTCTTGTCTCACAACCAAACATTGTATAAATTGGAACCTATTAATGCACTTATGCCAATGATCTAGTAGTTGCAGCCTTACGTAGGTTCTCTGAACTTCACAAAATAGAAAAAGGAACATAATGTATTTATTAGAACATATTTTCTGGTTCAGATATGTCTCAAAATTTTTGACACATATGACATATAATAGAAAGTCGTTGATTTGTTTTCTCGTACTACCAAAATAAATTGTTTATAATATCTGTTTCAATGCTACTAGTTTAAGATACAAGACTTTTGTTATTCTTAGATGCTATTAAATCATAACACTTACTTCCATCCTCCAATTTGTTGGTCCTGGCTGAATTATTATGTCAAGTAAATGGGACCCATCACTTCTCACATCCTATATGGTAGAATGATAACAAGTTGAGGTGTAATGTTTTCTTCTCTCAATCTCCAGAGCTGAAGAGTTGGAAACGGCTCTAATGGAGATGGTCAAGCAAGATAACCGAAGACAATTAAGTGCAAAGGTATGCCAGGAACACTTACACATGAGCTTCCCTGCTTTGTCTTCGTGACTGCAGACATGCACATTCTTTTCATTATATCATGAAGTTTGCATGTATCTAATTAAAATTCCAACATGCTTCTCATTTCATGGTGTTGTTATATAATTTTTATATTGTATCTATTTGTGAACTCATGCTGTTATTAGAGTTTTTATTTTTCTTGCCCCATCCTTCTCTCTTTCTGAATTTACTTCAAACATTCTGGTTCTATCAACTTTTGGCATGCATTAATCATTATTGAAGGACCTATATACTCTTCTGAAATGCATAGCTATTCCTTTTGTCCCACAACTGCCAAGTCTGACCCTTGAATATCATAGTAAATCCAATCCTGTATGCCAAAATGAATCATACTCCCGTAACGATGATGTGGATCATAGTTGTTTGGTTTGAACTTCTTCTAATGATAAAAGAAATGTTTGCAAATTTGAGATTCCCATGAAGGAGAATATTGTAATTCTTGTGGGTATAGAGGGAGTAATAGGTAATCTCTTCCCTGAAGTATGCCTTAGCAAGGGAAGAAAGACATGGCTTTTTGTGAGTTCATTACAGTTGTATGGTGGATCCCTTTGACTGATTTGAATAATATGCTTCACAAGCTTGTTACTTCGATTAAATCTTGTGTCGTGGGACATACAGGGAGGAGAAAACCTATCATGTTACTGAGATCCATATGAGGGTGATAGGGGGTCAAACGTTTTTGCCATCATAGCATGAAGTTATTCAATTTCTTGGCAGCAACCTTTCTATTTTGAAGGTTTATTGACCATATTCTGGGAAGTTTAAACTTGATATGACATCTTAAGAAGTTGGTTAATGCTACGTTCGTCCCCCATCGTGATCTTTTAAACCTCTTTAATTTATATTGCAAATTTGAACTCGTTTTTTGTATCAATGAATCCTAATATGCTGCTACAACACATACCTTTTCCATAATGTTTTATCCATTTTTTTTGGTGCGACCACTGTAACATCCCAGGCTAACCGTATGAGATATTGTCTGCTTTGTCCACACACCTGGACTCACGGTTTCTAAAACACGTCTGATAGAGGAGGTATCCAGTCCCTTATAAGGCAACATTAGTTCCTCTCCTCCAACCGACGTGGGATCTTACAGCCATGATGCACCAAGGATGCCCGGCTTCACAAGTGTTGGGAGGGACGTTCTTGTACACAATCTTCTCTTCCTATTCGCAATGATGTTGTTTGCATGATCCAAACCTGTGACCTTCATGTAACATGGTGTAATCTTATTGGTTGGTCTAACACTCGCTAATTGGGAAAATTATTCCATATGGTTATATAAGTGTCTCAATGCAAATTACGGGTTCTCTGATTGTTTTCTACTATCTTCTGACATATTACAGAAAAACATTGCACAATGATTTAGGTTGAGCAACTAGAGCAAGATCTTGCTGAGCTACACCAGGCCCTTGCTTATAAACAGGAACAAGAGAATGCCATGCTTCAGGTTTTAATTGACACTTCATGTAGTAATCACTGTAGACATCCATCTAATTACGTATTTGCTTCACAGAAGTTACTTTATTGCTTTTTGTAGGTTTTGATGAGGGTAGAGCAAGAACAAAGGGTAACCGAAGATGCTCGTAGATATGCTGAACAAGATGCTGAAGCCCAGAGATATGCCGCTCAAGTACTTCAGGTTTATTTCTCCAATACAATCAGTATTTCAATTAAAAGAAACTGAAGTAGATTATATTCAAGTATATCAGTTTCCTCCATACTCCATTCTTTGGACCCTGTTTTCATTTCTCCTCACTTCAACCAAACAGGGTCTGTAATCACATTTCTTTTTCTTTGGCACTACGTAAATGGGCCCACAAAATGAAAATGTGAAATAGGACATAATTTTAGAGTTTGTACATTATTCAGGAAAAATATGAAGCAGCAACCGCTTCCCTTGCTGAAATGGAGAATAGACTTGTTATGGCAGAATCAATGCTGGAGGCTACCTTGCAATATCAATCTGGCCAACATAAAGCACAACCTTCTCCAAGGTACTCCCTTTCATGTTCATGGGAAAATGGTAAATGACTTTTATGCCCTCCATCCAATGAAAACTTCATTTTGGTCAAATTCTCGAGTAAAAAAAGCATCTATTTGCCTATTTTCATCAATAAATCATATTGATGTTGCTTTTGTTTCACAAGATATTCCTACTTTTCCATTCTAAGGGTATTTTAGACATTAGACTAATAGTCATTTTCTTTACATACACTCCTTTTTCAAAATTCATGTTTCTGTTTTACAAACACGATAACCTACTTTTTCTTTGTTAATCTTGTTATCTAAATATCTTTCACCATCCTATAGATCGACAAATCAAGATTCTTCAACAATAAGGACTAGCCAAGAGCTCTCACAAGAGATTCCTGCAAGAAAGATCAGTCTGTTATCTAGACCATTTGGACTTGGGTGGCGTGACAAGAACAAGGTTTGTCTTGCATCAATTAACAAATAGCACGATCTCCTAAATTGTTTCATATTATACTGTCTCAAGTTGCATCCCTGCATAACTTAGGTCCTCCTAAGTTTTTACGTACTCCAAAAGACTAGTCATTATAGTCGGTTTCTCGTTTGTACTATCTTATTAGTAATGCAACTTCTTTAATAGAGAGAAAACGATAGGTTTCAGGGTATTAAGGGAAAGGTGTCATTTAGTTGCTCCTAAAGTTAGCTGAACGACTTACGTAAAGTTTTTCATATAGTAACATGTCGAAACAGATGTAATAGGTTTAGTTAATCTAGTTATTTAAGGTTTTGACATGCTGTGGGAACAAATTGTTCTGTCTTTACCCTTGCAGCATGTGATTTTTTTTTTGATTAACCTGGATATCCAACCCGCTATGCGAGCTGACTAATCCCAGGGCGACCACCTGCTTTGCAGATAGCCTGGAGTCACCGCATTTGAACCTCCGTGGCCACAAGGGGATTTTTATTCCTCCTTAGATTTGAACTTGGGACCTCCTGGTACTTTTGACCTTTGGAGCCAAGCTCAAACCAATCAGCCATCACCCTTGTGGTTAGCATGTGAATTTTGTTCATAGAGAGATGAAGATAAATGAATAGTAGAAAAGGAAGACTATCTTAATTTGATTGCTCTTAAGATTTCAAATAACTAACTACTAAAAACTACAGGGGAAGTCAGCTGAAGAAGCAAACGATGAAAAGTCTAGCGATGGCATAGATAGTTTACAGAAAGACACAAACGGTCATCAAATGGAGGTCTCCCTGGGCTGATGAGAACAAGGTAACCTATTTTACTAGAGTTTTAGAGCTAGAATGGTCAGATACAGCATATTGAAGTTATATGTTGCCATGGATTTGGCCATTCTAACTCCAACCAAATTCTATTTGGTTCACAAGACCCACAAGTGTATGTTAGTAGTAGTAGTATTCGTGTTTGTTTTCTATTTTTACACATTCGTTGACATTTACCCATAAACCGCTTCTTTTCTTAGTTTAAGTGTTTATTAGGATGAAGAGAAAAAGTAAAAAAATAAAAAATAATAAACAGGATCGATGTATTGTAAGGATATTCTTTTTTGAAGTGAGAATCCGTTTGAGTTGTTTCGCTTTCAAGGTTTATGAACACCAAGTTGGTAGCTAGAAAACACACATACTGTTTTCGACATATCAGGGTTTGAAATCCGATAATGTCGATCGGTTGGTTATATATCTGTTATTGTGAAATCTTGTATAAGTAGTTGTTCTCTCCCTACCCTTTTTACCCATTGAGAAAAGATGAAGTAAAACTAATAATGACCTGTACTTGTGGTTTGAAGTTGTGCATTCTATCATCTTTTTGCCTGGTAGACCATTTTGTCCAGTGATGGCTCATATATTCTAAAAACTTCTAGTTAATGCAATCCCTTCAAGTATAATATATATATATATATATATATATATATATAGATATATATGGGGGCCCGGACAACCACGGATGAGTTGTAATCATCACAGGTGAGCCTCCATTGCTACAAAGACTTTGGTAGCGTTTGGATTTAAATCCGGGGAAGATGAGATCTTTCTAATACATTCCCCTATGTCTTAATCAGTGCGCTATAACCCAAGTGGTTGAACTGTAATTGAGGGTCTGCTCGGTGTTTTTGTAGATTGCTTAACTCGATGTGTTGGTATTTGTTTCTAAATCTTTTTCGCTTTGATGCAATTATGTTTACTGAATTGGTTTGTTAACTTTATATGTTGAAAGAGGACCATGGTTACAAACTTCTAGGGGTGTTCAAAAAAACTGTTGGATCGCTTAAATCGGTCGAACTAAGTCAAACTGGACCCTTTTTTGGCGGTTTCAGTGGTCCGGTTTGGTCTGAAAACTAGTCAAACCGCTCGGTCCAGTTTGGTTTGCGGTTTGAACAAGAAATACGTGCTCTCAAACCTTTTTAGAAACGAACGGAAATGAATACGAGGGAAAATAAATTATATATATTTTCTTTCAAAATACGAGAATAAAAAAATGATCTCTTAAACAATTTAGTAAAATTACAAAACTATCCATCAATTTAACATCATAAATAAATAAATAAATTTACGTATTTATCCATTTATCATCTTAAAAAATATTGGTGGATGAAATTGATTGCTATCACTTCTCTAAATTATAAGGAGTCGTTTACCAAATACTTACTTGGGTAAGCGCTTACCAAGTTATATTACCTTACCGGATGAATATTATAAGGACCACAAATCTTACCCGATAAGTGAGGGCAATGACTCTTACCACAGTCAGCTCTTACCGGATAAATTCTTGCATAAAAAACCGTTTTTATTGACTAAAATCTTACCCGGTAAGTAAATAATAGTATTGAATATTCAAAAGGTGTTTTAAGAAGGGAGTATAACATTCTAGTTTTAGTAATATTTTAAAGAAAATTGCACCAAAATGGAACCAACTTTAACCTAATTCCTATTTTGGGAAACCAACTTTCAAAATCGTCATTTTAGGGAACCAACTTGCACCTGATTCTTATTTTGGGGAACCAACTTTCAAAATTTTCATTTTGGGGAACCAAATTGCACTTGATTCCTATTTTGCGAAACTAACTTGTAAAATAATTATAGAAAAATAACTAAAATTCGTTTTTTTCCAAAAATTAATGCAATAAAATCTATTTTTCATTTCAAATCTCGTTTTTTTTAATTCAAATATCAAATTGAACATTTAAAAAAAAAACCAAATTACCACAATAAAAATTGTTTTTTACTAATGCAAAAAAAATCAATTTAATAGAAACAAATTAATTGATACGGATTGGTTAGATATAAAAATCTTGAATGTAATATTTATATTTATTTTTTATTGCATCAATTAATTTTTTTCTATTAAATTGATTTTTTTTGTATTAGTAAAAAACATTTTTTATTGTGATAATTTGGATTTTTTTATAAAAATGTTCAATTTGATATATGAACTAAAAAAACGAGATTTGAAATGAAAAATAGATTTTATTGCATTAATTTTTGGAAAAAACGAATTTTAGCTATTTTTCTATAATTATTTTGCAAGTTGGTTCCCTAAAATAGAAATAAGGTGTAAATTGGTTCCCCAAAATGATGATTTTGAAAGTTGGGTCCCCAAAATAGGAATCAGGTGCAAGTTGGTTCCCCAAAATGAAGATTTTGAAAGTTGGTTCCTCAAAATAAGAATTAGGTGAAAGTTGGTTCCATTTTGGTGCAATTTTCTCCATATTTTAATTGTCATATCTACCATTAATCATTATTTAAAATTAATATTTTTTTTTAACTCAAAAGTGGTTTTTATTAAACCTTTAATTATGAGCTAATATCAAACTATGTCTATAACAAACATTACAGATTTAACCACTTGGTTATGGTGCATCGGTTAAATCTTAAGGGATGCAGTAAAAATCTCATCTATTCCAGATTCAAATCTAGTCACTTTCAAAGTTCTTTGGAGGTTCACCTACGGTAACTTCAGGTCATTTATGGTCGCTCGAGGATTTGTCGGTGCAAGAACTATATACAAAAGTAGAGATTTTATAGCTTTTAGAATTAAAGTATAAACTTATCGTACCAATCCGTTTGAATCCTAGAACTATATGGAAAAGTAGATATTATAGAGCTTTTAGCACTATGCTAGAGGTAGTGATGGCCAAAAACCGGTCCCGGGTGAAGAATCTTGTAACCGGCTGTAACCGGCCCGGTCCCGGTTCCGGTAGAAATACTGAAGACCGGTCAATGCAACTCGTAACCGGTTATGGGATACCGGTCCCGGTCACAATCGGGCCTGATAAAAAAAATGTTTTTTTTGTTTTTGTTTTTTTCTTTGTTTTTTTAAATGATATATATTTTTAATATGTTATTAAATTTGTTTTATGATAAATACGTTTAAAAATACATTTTAAAAATACGGGTCACTCAAATACACTTTAAAAATACGTTTTATTATAATTAAAATTACATTATGTTACTAAAATTTATTATAAAATTATTTGAAAATACATTTATTCATCAATTTTCATCGGTATCCCATGTCGGATTAATTTGAAGTGTTTCGTTCTCTTGAATTCTTCTAATAGCCTCTTGGTCATCAAGGTTATCAATGTCGAGCTCCTCATCATCGTCATATTGTGAGTAAGTGCCATCGGTATCGGTAGTTGGCGGCGTGCTTAGTTCCATGGAGATTTCATTTTCTTCCAGATTTTCTTCCACTGTTTCAATCTCCATATCTAACAGTCGTGTGTTGAATCTTATTAACGCTATCCAAATAATCCTTCAAGCAGATGCAACACTCCACAGACTCCGGGCTTAGTCTTGTCTGACGTATCAAAATGATCCTGCCACTAAGAGAAAAAGCAGACTCTGAAGCTACGGTACTAGCTTGGATTGTTAGTACATCACGTGCGATGCACGCCAAAATCGGGAATTGAAGGTTGTTTTTTGTTTCCAAAAATCTAACCGGTCCCGGTCCCAAAAAAAGGCCAAAATCAGTAACCGGTTCATAACCGCCGGTCTCGGTTCCGGTCCTCCGGCGGTCCCGGGCCGGTTTGGCCATCACTATAGCCCAGAGGTAAAAAGAGAGACGTATTATTTTAATCGTTTACACTGATGACATTTATTGTGTTATAATTTTTTATACAGTTCTTTTAAAATGCATTGGAATGATAAATTTATAAAAAATTTATAACAATGACCGACTAAGATATATCCACGACAACCATATCCTTAAGATACAATCGTGTATAATCATAACAACTGATTATTTAATTATTAACGACATCCTACTTTTATGATATTCATTGCAGATAATCTCCAAAACTGGAGATTAGAATGGTGAAATATCCTTTCACTAGTGTAAACTGTAACCGATTAAAAAGAGTTATGAGGCTCATCAAAGATGCATAATATCCACCCCCGGTATTATGGATATTAAAATAGCGAATGCAAAAAGCAAGAGTAAAAAATATAGAGATCATGTCACTCCAAATGGCCCTCATACAATTCAGTTTGTTATTTGTGAATTCGTATTAACCACAACCATAATAATTATTAAGGATGACATCCCCTAGGTAGCATTTGGTATGCAGACATGATTGGACATGACAGAATTGGACATGACAAGATGGTAGGACGGGATAGGACTGGACAGAGTAAGAGTATGTCTGGTGTTTGATATGACAAGGATTGGTTGGGACAGAACCAAACAAACTACCCTATAAGTTGTTTGATGACTTTAAATATTATATAATAGTTATAATTAGCATAAATAAAGTAAATAATTAAAGAATTTAATTTATATATATATATATATATATATATATATTTGTACACAATTTTCATATAAATGAATACATACATATATAATGGTACCAAATTTGAATGAAAATTTTGATATAATTAATGGTAGTAATGGTGGTGGTGGAATTGGTTTTGGTTATGGTGGAGGTGGTGGTGGCCGACGGTAGTAGTGGCAATGGGCGGTGGTGGTCGATGGCCGACGGTGGTTATGGAGGTAGAAGCAGTAGTGATTGGTGGACGACAGTAGTTATAGAGGATATGAAGATGGTGGTGGTGGTGGTGGTGGTGGTGGTGGTGGTGCTGGCAGTTGACAACGGTGGAGGAGGTAGTCGTGGCTGATGTAGTGAAGATACTAGTGGTGATGGTTATGGTGGAGGTGAGGTGGCAATGAATGGTGGTGGCCGATGGTGGTCGTGGAGGTCTTGGAGGAGGTTGTTGCAGTAGAGAAAGAGTTGAAGGTGACCAATGGTGGTAGTGGTGGTGGCAACGGACGGTGGTGGACGGTAGCCGATGGTGGTTTTAGAGTTGGCAAGAAACAGTGGTGGTCAGTGGTCGACGGTGGTAGTATTTGTGGTAATGGGTGGTGGTGGTCGGTGGCCGATGGTGATTGTAAAGGTGGCAATGGACGGCGATGAAAGAGGTTGTTCTAGTAGAGGATGAGTTGGAGCCTTGGAGGTGGCGAATAACGATAGTGGTGGTGGCAATGGGTGGTGGTCGGTGGTCGACTATAGTAGAGGTGGTGATGAACTTGGTGGACGGTGGTTGTGGAGGAGGTGGAGGATGTAATTGTAGTGGGAGAGGAGGTAGAGGTGGCCGCCGGTGACCGCCAATGGTGGCAGCGGCCGAAACTAGCGGTGATGACCATTAAAACAAATACCATATTAAAGTTATATATATCAAACTATGATAGATTAATAATATTTTAGTTTATGTCTAATTTTTGTCCCATAAATAGGTGGAACAAGAAAAAGCCTCTTTTTATCTCATGCTGTTCCACCTTGTCCCAGTTGTGTCCCTGTCCCATGTCACACCAAACGTAAGACAATGAGTTATGTCCCGTCCCATATACCAAATGCAGCCTTATTGACATCCATAGTGCATTGACAATAACAAATCGTTTGCAGTTTTTACCTTTGACAGGATATTCTGGGTCACCAAATCTCTTGTTTTTTTAATTTATATGTTTAAATTTCAATGATTCACATACAAACCTTTATTTCTTCTCTCTTGTTTGAGCCTCCCACTAACCAATCTTCGATTTGGTTCTCATGAGCCAAGTCCTAATGGTTCAGAAACCAATTCGATCCTTCCAGAAACCGATTCAGACCTTAACCAAAAACTAGGACCAATCTGGACCCAACATGCTACAACAATCCTAATCGTTCATCGGATCCTTACGAGTAACGGGGCTCAATTCTGTTTTCGTTTATAAAAGCCCATCGTCGCTTACGTAGAAGCAAGTTCGCACATCTGGATCTTTAAAAATCGGTCCTAGCCTATCGGTCCCGATCCTTTTCATTACAGATTCGGTCCTCGGTACTTGTGTGCTGACCGTGCATCTCTATAAAAATTTTAAAAAAAAATCATACATAATACGTAGGCAAATTGCAAAATGAAGTACATATTATGTGCTTAATTTTCTGTTTCCAGCAACCATTTTCTCGTGCGATCATCGATCCCACAATCATCATCACACCATGTTTAGCGACGTAAATAAGGTGCGTTTTTGGGAATACAAAGGTTACTAAACCATATGGAATAATTATCAACATTTTTACACCAACCTTACTACTACGACTACGACTACTAACTAACCATTTCCAGACATCTTTACAGCCCAAATGGGCAGAGTCTGGTAGTAAATATATATATGTCTTAGGCTTATTGTATAAAGAATATATCTCTTCATTATGCATTTCACAATGTAAAGAATAAATGTTCAACTTACCCCCCATCACCAAAATCATGCTGCTGCAGATCTTGTATCTTCATGATCGTCAAGATTTAGAAGTTGAAGCAGTTTTGTCCATGATTCTGGGATTCCTCCCGGAAGATCAAACTCCAACAGCTTTCCTCGCCTGCGATAGAACTCTTCAACCGGACGGCTCTGTAGGTATAATACTATTAGGTAGCATGAAGTTTATGGGTAAAGCACCGACAGGAACTACTAATATTGTGTGTATTTATATGCATATAATAACATAGTATTTTACCCTGAGGGGTAGTTTAACTGGTAAGACCCGTAAGAGTTACCTGAGGGTTTGCCTATGGGATTAGTTAGAGGTTGGCCCGGACACCCATGGTTACCGTATAACTATGTATTTATGTTTTGCTAGGCACGAACCCATAAGTTTATACGGTACTCTAGGACTCCATTATAAGGCCAAGGAATCAGGGTCCTTTCTAATAATAGAGTTGAGGATGTGAAGGCAGGGCTGGATTTTAGAAGACCAGAGAGGGTGCACCGATAGCGGTGGAAAAAAATTTAGGGGTCTTAAAGTGCACCCGCTTTAAATTGATGTGTTCTCTCCTGAGTTAAACAAAAAGTGAGCCTAATAGCAGTGTCATCGCATGTCACATTATAGGTTGCAAGTTCGAATCCTTTTAGTTCTCATTTCATTTTTTGGTTACAAATGGAGAAAAAATAACACTTCTTTGTCGTTTTCAATGGAACTGTATTTTTATAATTAATTTTTGTTTTATTTTACATTATGCTAATTAATTTATGGCCCCGCTTGGATTATTTTTTCTGGATTCGCCTACAAGGGAAATGATAAGACAAGATGCATCCTGAACTGAAAACTTATCAAGCTTCTGCACTCATTCATCCCCAAACATGTATAAATAAGAGAGCTTCACTTTCTCTCCTATTTGAACTAAGATATCTATTGTTGATCTAGACGCCCTCGCCCTTATACCTGGTGTGAATTAAGGAAGCATTGTGTCTCTGGTCCCATTACGTGCAGGTCATTCAAAATTAAAACAGCTCCACAAACACAAGGAAGAGGATTATCACCAACATTAACAATAATCACTTGATATACTGTAGAAACAGATCAGAAATATTCATTCTGGTGTCCATTATCAAAAATAGATAGTTATAGTTTATTATATTTCCAATATTTAAGGGTTGATGAGATGTACCTCTATCATTAAGGGTACAATTTCATTCAGATAACTAAAAAGTGTAATAATTACTCATTTCAAGGTGTTTTGCTTTTTTATCGTGGACATTTATTTTAGGACGGAGGGAGTATACTCCTAGGGAAAAAAATCAAATCATATGATCGATGTTGACATATTAGCAAAGTGTAAAAGAACCCACAAACCTTCTCATTGTATACACGGAGACGTTCTTTCACAACTTCTTCAGTGTCATCAGACCGCGTAATAAGTTTTGATGCACAATTTGCAGGTGGAAGAAGGGGAGGCATGTACATTGCAGGGTTTCCATCATCAGCCTTAATGTCAATGCAAGCAACATTGTAGTTCCCACCACATTGGCTGCAAGTCCTTCTCCCGAGGCATTTTGCAAGCAATGCCTCTTCTCGGAGCTTCAGATTAATCACTAGGTCGATGTTTGTTACACCCTCAAGTATTTCCTGAAAATTTATAAAGCAAATAAGACAATTGAAAAGATCATCAAAGTAGCATGGAGAAGATAGCAGCCAGGACATGTAGATGTCAAATAGTACTGACATACAATATGGTAACAGTCCTCGTGCTTATTTATTTTTATTGGGACCCGTGTCCAGGCCAGCCCCTGACGATAACAGCCAGGATAATCCCCAGTGGCCCTGTGGAGACTCGAACTGGCAACGTATGGGGAAGAGCCCCAAGACGAACCCTTTATTTGCCGGTTGAGCTGGCCCTCAAGTTCCCTTCTACTTGGACTTGTTGCAATTGAAGTTGGCAATTTGGCATTGTGCTAACATGCAATTCTACTGGTCGTAATTTGTAAACCACATGCGAGACCAACTCGAAGCATGGAGACCTAAATTTTATAATAGAAGAATGAACCAACAATTGAAGGAGGAGGATTAAAAGAGACATTTTTTTTTTTTACTATCGTGGTCTATGGCCCTTTTGCCGAATTACTTCATGGCCCCGATGCATAGCACCCACTCAACATGAACCAAACAAACTTTAGGTCGTCTGACCAGCATGCGTAGCACATGTGGATTTGAACCTAAGACCTGCGATACACAAACCCCAAACCTTGCCCGCTAGTCAACCCTTGAGTTATTAAAAGAAGTTAAATGATGAACTTATCTGCTATTCAGCAATGTTTTCATGAAACTTATGACATCATTCCTTTTTATAGTTCTTCAAATACTAGTTGATTAAGTACTCGAGTTTACATCAGGATGGGCTGGCACAAGATGCAGAAAGTTGAATCTTTCTGAAGTTCTTTACACAAGGTTTCGTTTATTAGTTTACATCATCACTCAAGTGATTGCTACTGCAAAAATATATCCTTTACCAATTACATAACCAAATATTCCCAATCCCGGCAACTAAGTTGACAAAAATGTGAACAGGAAAGGATAAGGGTTGAGGTTTTAAGCTGTAAAAGAGGATGTCACTTTCTACAAATAGCACCAATAATTAGTATCAGGTAAGTGCCAATCCAATAGAGATAGACTTCATAATCACTTTTTATTATTTGAGTTACTTGTTCATCTAGAAATAATATGTGATAGAAACAACTGATTTGTGGAGCTCCTAGGGGAAAGGGTAAATGAAGATGTTGAAGTTAGAAATCTATAATTAAAAGTAAAAAAAAAATAGACTGATGTCTCCCAGGCTGATGCCACTCTGGTTAGATGGGACCACTCTTCCGACTGAACATATATCAAATAGTTAGAGATGGCATTAGAAAGATCAACAATGACATGTATGAGAAACATTTTACACAAACATTTTGGTCTTCTACATGCTACTATTGTGATCGAAACTGTTAGAATGGCTACCGGATGCAATGCATCTGTTACTCCATGTGGACCCAATATATAACAAATAGGTATGCTAACAAAATGGAGTACCACAAATTTTATTTGATATAGACTTGATTTTATCCCCCGATGAAGGGATTCATACAAAAGATAGGCATACTAAAATGATTTGTACTCCACCAATTTTACTCGATATAGACTTCATTTTATCCCCCAATGAAAGATCAAACTGAAACCCCGTGTATTCTTCATCAACTATGCTGTTATAGCGGTGAAAATTCAAAATTGCGGTCGGGACCGATATTTGAAATAGCGGTTATAGCGGTGGTATAGCGGTCCAAAAATAGCGGTTCATATAATATTTCTTAGAATTATATATATAATATGCCTACATAAACATATCATTTGCAAAATAGGAAAAGTGTTCATAAACGAGCTAGAAGTTGGAAACAGAAGCTGGAAGTCTGGAAACAGAAGCTGAGAGACTGAGACTCGTTGGTCGTGGTCGTCTAAAGCAGATGAGATTGCCGAACAGAGCCCAGAAGAACAGATAGTCAAAAACAGGTTGTCAATAGAGAAACCTAGTTCTTCCAACTTGTGTTAATGGATTAAACTTAGGAAAAATAAAGCCCAAAAAAAAGACGGGAAATAAAGCCCAACTATCTAAAAACAGAGGCTGAAAATAAAGCCCAACCCCCCCCCCCCCCCCAAGAAAAAAGGTAACGTTAATATCGAACGCAACTGACCCTAAATATCGGTCAAAATTGCAGTTAATTGCGCCGGTAATTGCGCCACCGCAATTTAAACCGCAATATGACCACCGTTATTTTGCTAATGTCCGCTATCCGAGATATCGCCACAATTAACAGCATAGTTCATCAATGGTAAAGTCATACCATTAGTGAATCAGCAAGGAGTTGATTTAACAGGAAAGAAGTTAAACACGAACCGTCAACACTGACGCCAAAATACAGCAGTTTGAAAATGCCTTTCAGCAGTTCAACAATATGCTTGAGAGGCTTCTTGTAGTGTAGCTTGCCTCTTTGTTCCAGGAGCTGCAGATCTGAGACATCCTAAATAGCTTTTGTCTATTGCACAAAGAAGATGACCACCATTTGGACAAAGGGCTATCATGTTCAGCTAAATTTCTTTAGGCCAGGAAGAAAGATGAGGTGTAAAAAGAACTCGCAGTTGGTTATCTTCTCTAACCAAAGGGTACATACTGGTTCAGCCAAAATGAATATCTCTTGGTGGGAGTGACCATTTGCTTAGAGAGTACAGAAGACACAAGCTTGGATGAAGTTAAGACATATCTGATGTCTAGCAGTCTCAGAGTGGGATCTTTCTTACAGGTAAAATAATTCTCGCCCAACTTCTTTCTTTAGGAGCTGTCTCCACATGAGAAAGTCCCATGCAGAAACTCCATTACTAATCTACAGAGTTAAATTAACAAAAAGAAGGGAAGTCAATTGGAAGAAGGGTCAAAACGAAATATATATATATATATATACACACACACACACACATTTGCTCTACTTTTGGCAAAGAGGTACCTTCAACAGCTTGTTAACCTACTAATTTAAACTTAATCGAACGCAGGGTAACTTCAAGATGCTTGCAGAAGGTCAAAAGAGCCAATGAACTGTGTGGTCCTAATTATCTTGGATATAACAATTAAATCTTATATAAGATCAGCGGGATCATAAGAACCCACATGCCTTAGTATAAATTCCCTACTTTCCAATAACTGAAATAGAAGAAGATTTGAATGCAAAGTAAAAATGAAGCAAAATCAAAAAAATCCTTTTTTCCTTCAAATATTGACCTTAAGAAGTCCAATGTAATGTAGAACATGTAAGAGGCAGCATATGCCTACAATACAAGAGAGTAACACCAGAATGACTTCAAGGACCCAATAAGACAATAATTTGATAGCAAGTCGTAAGTTAGAAGGAGGGTGATAAATACACTCTAGCATATAGCTCCTCACCTGTGTCCCAAACTAACAAGTAACCAGTATAATAAATGTTTCAGGTTTTACCAAGATGTATTGGCATCACAAACGTCTTTTATAGTGATATAGATTGCTGTTGCAAGCTATCAAGCAATACCATACTTCTTGTAGCCTTGCCATATGTGAATGATCAAACAACCATGTCACTTATACTCCTATAAGTTTTCTCATACCATGGTTAGAAACACCTTTGGCCCAATTAGTCATGGGATCCATGCAAAGCCCCTTCCTCTAAGAAGCTAACCACACAGGTGAGATTCGAACATAAAACTTGTGATACACAACTCTCAAGCCTTAACATTAGGTCTCTAAGAAGTTAATAGTACATGTGGGATTTGAGACTAAAATTGATCCTCTATTCAGCAAAATAAGTTACCACCTTCCCATTGGTTATGTGATACAAATGCTGACTTATTGGTATCTAATAACAAAAGGCCCAAAATTGTACATGTCTATTCTAGAAGGACAAGAGGGGTATATCAGGAAAGTGGCTAACAAGTCTGTTCAGAGGAGAGAGAGAAGAATAAATAGAATAGGTAATGACGTTGTCAGGCATGTTATGAGATTTTTCTTTGATTTTGGCTCTCAGCTTTCTGCTGTCGAGAGAGGGAGTTTTCCCTGGAATTGTTGGTTCTTATTTCTCCATTAATACAAGTTCCCTATTCCTTCTCCATTTCATCTACTGTTATTATTATTCTATTTCCTGTTCTTCATCACTGGTCCGACCTACCGACGACCTGCCGTCGACTGTTTCTTTCTCTGTATCTGCTTCAGTTTTCATGGAGACTCGTTCCGTTCAAAATTGCATTAAGCAACATGAGGAGCATATTCAGCGACTTCAATCTGATGTTGCTGATATCAAATTGTCTCTCCAAGCTTTGGAGGCTGATCGAATCGAATCTGGGGAATTTCGTCCGATCGTGTTGAATGGGATGAAACAGCAGGGCACACAACATCCTAATTTCGATTCGAGTGGTGGATCCGGGTTGGGACATCAGTCGTCGACCACGTTTTTCAATACGGGGGTGGCTGCTGGGTGTGTGGATGGTGATCATACGTCCCCTACAGCTAACGTTGGGTTGTCGTGGGCGGTGAAGAAGGTCAAGCTCCCTGAGTTTCACGGGAGGGTGGCTCCAGAAAGCTAAGTTGTATTTCGACATTAACGGTACTCCTCCTCATTTACGTATTCAGTTGGCTCCATAAGCATGGGGGGTGTTGCTCAACACTGGTTTACAATTGTTCAACAAGTTCATGAATCATTGACTTGGGAGCAATTTCAATTAGAACTTTTACAGAGGTTTAGTGGGTTAGAAATTCAGAACCCTTATGAACAATTAGCAACCATTAAACAAACCTCATCGATTCATGACTATATCGATGATTTTGAGTATTTGTTGTCATTGGTTCCATGTTTACCGGAATCTCAGGCGCTGGGTTATTTTGTGGCCGGCCTCCGTGACGAGGTAAAACGATGGGTTCGTCTGCATCGTCCGGTCTCTCGCTTGGATGCTATGTATTTGGCCAAGGATGTGGAGGAGATGCTAAGGCCGTCGTCTGGCGGAATTTCTCAATTTCGTTTCCGTTACCAACAACAAGGTGGACCGGCGAGTGTCTTCATTGGATCGTTTGTTGG